AGAATTTACAGTTCAGTTGATGAGTACACAAATTCAATATTTTACCTAAAAGGATTATTGTGTTAGTAAAAAGTGCTGTATTTGATGCTTTCGTATTACACACCATTATTATTCATGAAATGATTATAATCAGGCAGCTAAAACAAAATCTGAGCTTTTAGGTAGATGAAATTTTAAAAAGATATTTAAAACAAAGAACGTAATCTAACGCGACATAGAACCTGACACGTGTACATTGGTTCGAGCTGATTAACCCCATTAGCACGGCAAGATGAAATAGTTTTGGGAAATCCGAGAGTTATATATATATATATATATATATAGTTATTCATTAAATGAAATCTTAGTTACATCAGACTAGTCTACGTAAAGCTACTGAAGTAATAGGCAGTTTTAAAGACCATGTGGAAAAAACCAATAAGACACACATGGTAGGTTCTTTTTAAACGAAAATAAAGGTAAATCTCACCATGGACTGGAGACAGATGGTGACATTGAGAAAGCAGGGAGCATTGGACAAATATTTCTTTTTTGTCTGAGTACCCAGTGGTGAGCATCTAAGACATCATATTGGAATAAACTCAGGTTTGTCAAGCGTCTTTGTAAGCTTAATACCTTTCAAAAACTTAGTCAACATTCTATGATCTCTCAACTTCAGGTGGCTATGATCTCCTTAATCAATAGGACTTTAATTGAACTCACAGTTCATAATTTTTTGAAGAAACGTGAGCCGTAACCCTCTTAGAAATTACATTTAAATGGCTGATGTTTTAAGTTTTGAAATGTAGTTATAAAGTAATGAAGCTTGTGATATTACAGTTAACCTATTCAGGTCATTCACTACAATATGCAGTGAATCACGAGACAATCAGATTAACGGTTACAAAAAGTAACAATCGATTATCTTCCGTTAACAATCAGAATTATGAACATTACAATTGATTATTCTATGATGAATGATTTACAAAGTAAGCTAGCTTTTCAAGCATTTCTAACTCAGTTTAAATAAGACGGCACCACATACGGAAACCATGCATCTCATAATTGAGATTCAATTGATATACACATAATTCCCACTGGAACTCCAGCCTAGAATCCATAGCTTCAAATGACAGCTTTGTCCATTAAAATACTTACCAATAATAGTCAAATAGTGCCCTATTGGTATCAGTTGTCATTATAGCTTCCGTTATCAGCCTTCATTAAAATTAAATTAGAATGTATGTGCCGAAATAGCTTCAGTGTCAGGTTAGCATCAGAAAACCAGATAAACGTAAGCATTAAATAACTATGCTACTTGATTGGAAGATATAATTAAAACAATTAGTAAGATTTAGCAGAAATGGATAGTGGCTAGCAGTGGAATCCAGGACGTTCGTTTCGTCCTATTTGGGACTCGTCAGCTGGATGTACCTGCATCTCAGAGTTGATGTTCACTCTGGGATTCGAACCCAGTACCCTCGCTTCAAACGCCATCGCGTTATCCACTCGGCCACTGAGTCCTGATAGCCACTTGCTTGTACGATGGGGTGAAGTTTAAATTCAACTTAGTATTGTTTGTTTGAATCTTCCCATCGATTTGTTAGGACTGCAACTGGTCAGTCTCTAAGTAAGATTGACCTTAAAATAACTATCAAACCCCTTCACAAAGATTATTAGAAATCCATTTTAAAGTTTACGTAAGCTCTCATCATTTGAAACCTTTAGTTTTCTTTCTATGTGTAAAATACAAACAAAAATACAAAAATAAAAGTCTTGAAAAATCAATAAGGAGAAGGTCCAAGCTTTAAAATCAATTCATAAAAACTTGCTTATAGTGATAAAACTGAATTAAAATCTCTAGGAAAGAATGATTCATCCATTGAGCGTTGAATGCTATCAGTTAAAAATCTGTCTAGTATATTTTAATTACAATAACAATTTGTCGCTTAGATCTGTTTTAGTCAAAGTAAAACTCTCCATGATTATGTGACAGTTCAAGTTTTCATATTGAAAGTCAATATAAAGAGAGAAAATTAGTAAGACGAGAAGCATAGGATGAGAGATGTTGATGGCTAAAAAAGAATGGAAAACTAAACTTGAAAGGCACAGTTCAGAAGGGAAAATTGAGACCAAAAGACGAAAGAATAGGATTATTAAAAAGCTAATTTCGGTTAGCTATTATCAACGTACAGTCTAGCTCAAACATGTTGTCATACCACATTAACATGACAAGATGAAATTAACAACCAAAGGAGTCGGATTGATTGCAGTACTACTAATAATGAGAAAGACTAGACATCGGGATTATTGAAAAATACAGAATTAATCATACGTAACACAAAACTTGGAACCAACCCAAGTTCCTATATCTCATTGGCACAGCAAGATGAAACTATTAAGGAAAAACCCAGAGTAGTAGAGGTAATAATATCAATGGTGATAAGAAAAAAGACCAGGCATAGAAGATATGATCTGGGAAAATATGGATTAGTGGAACTAAAAAATTTATAAGGTGATTTGGGAACTTACGCTCTAAGGAAAGATAAAGAGTGAGTGCACCTGCGCCATTGCGAAAGATTCATAGTCATATCACCCGAAGCCTCTAACCATTTAAGATAACCACATGGACCACAACAAGGTAGGCTGTACATAAACACGTGGCTTAGTTCAACAGTCAATGACTTCATAAACGATGCTATCTTGGTTTGACTCCTCCTAGGTTTTTTCTGACTTCTACACCTGCAAACATCACCAGCAATGAATTACTGAAGATTTATTTATTCACTTATAAAAACCGACAACGTAACTACAAATAAAAGCATACATTCAACTGAAAACCATCAAGTATTAGTATGGGCTTGGTACTTCCTTAATATTAATTTTCAGGACTGCATTTAATCAACCCTTGTTAGTACACGTGCTTCTTAAGTGAACCCAAAAGCATTACCCGTAAACATAATATTTTTGAGTTGTGGCTAGCGATAGAATCTCGGTTCCATGTTTCATTTTATTTTGGACCTGTGAAAACTGTAACGAGAAAAGTTAAAGACAAGTCTTAGTTATATATCCTTTCCACATTTCACCATATTCAATTTCAGCTTGACGGACGACTAATCTTTTTGTACAGCTAGTTAACTAAGACAGATTTGATCGAGAACATGAATGGATCAATGTAAGACTACAGAAAACCTGAAGGCACTGGACGGCCATCTTTTCCCGTATGGGACTCCTCAGTAACGCGCATCCAATGTGACACTGGGTGGAAAGTAAAGTCGAATCACTGGGGTGATAGTAACAAATTTCGTAAGAATGCTAATGAGTGTATTTGTCAATCAAGTTTAGATTGTCTCTAAATATTAAAAATACTATATTGCATACAAATTTTGAGTTGACAAATTGCACTTTTAAGTAGCATTTTAAGAAATGAACATATATATTTTATTAAAACATAGTAGTCCTATTTATCTACAGTCCATGATATTTCTTTAAATACGATGAACTGATCTTGGCTATGTACAATTGAAGCAAATAATATGTAAAGGTTACGAAATCATACAGCTGTGAATTGATTATTTAAAGTAATATATACCATAGATCTAAACGGGAGAGATTATAACTTATGAACAACCTTCAACGATCCTAAAGATGACCTTGTGAAACCCTAAGCAATTAATAGGAAGTAGTGTTAGCAGTTAGGATTAAAGGTAGGATTAGTAATTAAGGTTTTCATTACTAAATGACGATAAGTATAACGAAGGAATATTATATAGTCACATAAGTAAATGAATTTCTAATGAAAATCCAAGATGCGCTATTTTAAATTTGACTGGTTCGTCAATCAACTATAGTCTTCCTGTCGATTGTTTTAAAAATTAGTACAAAGCATATACAAGTGGATACTTTTAACTAGACGGTCTTATTTGCAGTCACAATTAAAACTGATAAAGAATAACACACGAAAGTACAAATGAAAGCTTTTATGCAAATTATAGTCTAATATTTCAATACATATTGACTAAATGGATGGAAATTCTGAATATGACATAGTAAACAGTCAAAAGGTTGCAGATAGCCTAACGCTTATCTGTGCTATGAATCACGATGAAACAGTAAAAATCTTAGAGATAAAGTGGAACACTACTATTAGTTCATTGGTGAAAATGTTTAAATGCTTAAAAAGGAAATATTTTGAGATATTTTCCCAGCCCGCTAGTTTTAAAATTAACAAAGATCAATAGTAAAAAACAAACAGTTTAAATAACTTCATATGAAAAGAGTAGTAAAGTATGCCTAGCCTCCAACAATCATCTCTAACAATGTAATAACTTAGAAAATGTTCATTTTTTGATGTACGAGCTTAAATTAATGTAAATATCACCATGGAAATTATTTTAGTCAATCTAACGTATCAAATGAATGTCAGCACATAAAAAAGAAAAAGAAATCCTTGAAGCATAGAATATGTATGACGAAATAAGCTTTTCTTTTCACTTTATGTTTAGTTCAACACAATATTTAAATGTTCATATTTAGAATACAAACTGAAAAACGATTTTTTTTAAATAAGACCTTTAAACAAAATGATGATATCAGAAAATGGGTTTTGTGGAGATTTTAGTAATTTTTATATAGTTGAGATCATGAGTCAATTGAAACTAGAGCACCATCGAAAACCTGGAAGCACTGGATGGCTGTTTCGTCCTATCTTAGGACTCCTCAGCAGTGCGCACCCACGTACCCACCTCGCGAGATTCGAACCCAGAACCTACCAGTCTCGCACCAGAGCACTTAACCAATAGACCACTGAGCCGGCATCCGACGGTGTTAATGTCTAACTTCAACCAATCCATGTGGATGCGCACTGTTGAGGAGTCCTAAAATAGGACGAAACGGCCGTCCAGTGCTTCCAGGTTTTCTATAGTGGTCTAGCTTCAATTGACTCATAATGTCAACTATATAAAAATGATAATATGTTGCAAATATATATATATATATATTCAAGAAGGAAATCAACTTACAGATGCAGATGAAAAACAATCCATTTCTGAAATAGTAGTCCGTCTTTATTTAAACTGACATGTGTATAAATTTTTTGTATTACAAATGATTGCATCCAATTATTAAGACTATCTTCAATACAATACCTGAATAACATCAAACATAATCCATCTTGGTATTAAGGCAGTTGTCATGATTAGATCTTTTCTTTTAAAAAAATAAAAGACGTGCATAAGACGGTGGTAATATTATCTAAATAAGTACACGTGTGTTAAATGGGCATTATTTGTAATATTCTATTTAATCATTAAAAAAATATATACACAGACGTACATGATATGTCTTTCTAACGCTCAAATAAATATTGACTAAATCATCATTGATTGGTTAATATTTGACCTTAAAATCTGACGTGTAATCAGAACTATCCTTATGAGGTAATCATATAGACATGAAATCATATAGTTTCGTAATAATAATAATAATAATAATAATAATAATAATAATAATAATAATAATAATAATAATAATAATAATAATAATAATAATAATAATAATAACCTTATAACCCCAATTTAATTATGTAACTAATTGATTTGACTGTTATTTATTGGCAATTCCAAATTAACCATAGAATGATTTTGTGTTTGGAATATGATGATTTGACGATTTTTCTACCAAGGTCATTTTGAATTTCAATGATAACTGTAATGCCATAGTAATTATTCAAGTCTAACGGAATATCTTTATTTTTATGATTATAGAGAACAAATTAATTTTTACTACAACCTAGTCCTAAATGATAATATTTTATATTGTAGTATAAATTTTCCCTATTGTTTTAATTGACTTTATTCTGAAATTACTCAATCTAAATCTAGTCAAAAATTGGAGCATTGAGTTAAAGTAGTAACCAAGGTTACTTCATATTACTTTAAAAGATTATTGAAGATTCTAGCCCGTAAGAGTAAGCAAAAATTTATGGTCACAAATAATAAGGATTGTATTTTCAGTTACTATACTACACATTTTAATAACCAGCTCATAAGTGAAATGAAGAATCGATGTTATTTGTTCCCAGAAAATAATGGCATATTTATGTATGCTACTGGGTTAGACAACTGTGATTTCTGAACAAACATAAGTTCCCTCTTAATTTTTGATCACTTTGTTGATGACTTCCAACAAACATATAGCTTGAGTTAAGTATATCCTGTCAATTACGATCAATCATAGAATGATAATAATGATAATTTGTTCATTATCATAGCTTTCTTTGTTCATAATAAAAACATTATTTTGCTCCCAATTTCATCCAAATAATTTGTATTGATCATCGAAAAGTTACTTATGAGTTAAATAAAATGGTGAATAGTTAAAACTATAGAGAAGTTCCGTTTAAAAAGTAACACCTATCCAGTGCTCCATGGTATACATTGTTTTTAATCAGTCAGTCAGTTACACAACGTAGAATGTGGTATATCTCTGGATCAGTTCAAGCTACAACACCATAACATAAAAGCAAGACGAAATTATCAAGACAAATGTCAGAGTAGGAGAAACACTAACAATATCAGAGGTAGTAGAAAACAGAAGTCATGTATAAGATTTGAGAAGATAAATTAAACGTGTGCAATAAAAAGTATACGAGAATTATGAAGAACGAGATTTAAGACAGGATAAAAATGTGAATGTATCTATCCATTTTTCGGTGGATTTTGAAGTATATCATCCAATGTATCCCACCATTGATTATGATATTTTTTAGGAATCTAACTAGGTAGACAGGACCTCCTTATACGACTCAGACCGACAGTCAGTATTTTCATGGATTGATCGAATATTTCAGTTTGGTCGTTTTTATCTTTCATCTAACCTACTCTTACATCAGCAAGCATCATATTTCGAAGTTGTCTATGGTTGGATATATTTAATACATGAAAGTAAACGATATGTTTGAATACAAATACATCGAAATGAAATTTGATTACATTTGATGACTTACCGACTTATGGTCTGAATCCATGCCCTATAAACTTTCTGTAGTCTAAGATGTTCATGAACTATTTGGTTCGGTATAGTAGACAGTTTGAATGTCTCTTATTATCATAATAATACATTTTCAATTTATATAAACGTGACAACGTCCATGTACTCTCTCTAAAATCGGTTACCAATTTTCCTCAAATATATTTGTGTACTGGTATTGACCAGTTGTAGAAATCAATAATAGTAATAATAATAGTAGCAATAATAATGATAGTAATGGTAATAATAATAATATCAATAGAATGAAAAAAAACACACCTTGAAATGATTGATGATCTAGATTACATTGGAAGAAAAACCGAATTTCTTCACGTCTCTCTCCGTATTATTTCTTCTTCTTTAGTTCCCCTCTGTTCCCTTCTTTAATCGTCGTTCAGTATACTTTTTTCCCTTATACTTTTCTCAAGTTAAGTAATCATATTTATTAATTTATAAATGAATGTTTTTCATTCCACTAAGTGAAACAGAAAAAAAAACGAACATCAAAATGTCAATGTTTGGTTAAAAAGAGAAATGAATAAGCACCATCGATTGAGTAATGAAATTCATTAAAAGTTTTTTTTTTTTTGGTTTACATTTAATTATTCTCGTTTCCATGCTTCCCATTCTCTCTCTCTCACGCGCGCGCATTATCTCACTTTTTCGGTTATTTTTGGATAAAATTAATAATTAATCAGAATACGAACAGGTAAGTACGATTCTATATTATGAATTTGATTCAACTGAGTAGTTTTATGATATTTTTCCAAAAAGGGTGCATATATTGTAGCACGTATTATTAGCGTTTATTTGGAAGTGGGAGAGATCTGAAACAATAACACAACAGTCAGGACCAGTAAATGCCTCAGGAGCAAGAACGCGATGTACTGGCACAATATATATTTTCGAAAATCAAAACACGCGGTTCGAGTACAAAAGGGGAAACATATTACACAATAGTTTCATCCATCATTCTGCAGGTTCAACTTACGTAGGGCTTGTTCCTCTTCTTCCAGTATATTTATACTCTGCTGTCCTGCAAGAAGAAAAGAAGACTCACATTAATAACGTCACATGTAATGATTTTTAATAGTTACAATATTATATTCTATTTTTGATGGTGTTGTGTTTTCTTAGCTACCAGATGGTTTAATTGAAGAGCGTTCATTATCGTTCCGGACGATAATAACATAAATATCAGCATTTACTATATACAGAAGTGAATTGAACTAGTTACATATAAGACAGTTAGAACGAACTGATACAGTACTCGTGGAATGATTGTAAAGCTTACTTCTATATGAAATAGAAGATGGTGTTGTCCTAAGTGACAATGAAAACATTTTTAAAAAGTTAAACGACAGGACTCAAAGATCACCATAACACTGTCAAAAACATTCACTTGAGCTGTAAATATTCTCCATCATTCTAAAATGATTTCTCAGATTTAAGTTAGTCTATGACAAATTGTATTTATCAACATAAGACTAATATTTAGTTAAAATTATTTCTGTCAATATAATAGATAGTAATGGAATCCAGATTCCACTGCTAGCCACTATCCATCTTTGCTTAAAATGCTTGTAACTTCAGGCAATATCGAGGCACTCCGCACAGGATGCACATATGCCAACAAGAGACTGATCAATTGCAGTCCTAAATAACAATGGGAAGATTTAAGTAAACAACACCAAGTAAATATGTGATTACTGTAACTATAAATATGTTCGTGTGTGTTTTCTGATTGAACTGGATGCTTTACCTTTAACAATAATAGTATTCATCTAAATTGATTTCTTCATTCAAGGTAAAGAAGAGTAACAGTGAAGGTTTAAATTTCTTCTCTAAAAACTTATTTATCTATTCAAAGGTTGTAAATTAGATGACCAAACTAAATTGTTGTCTTCTCTCTTGTTTCTCTTCATTTTTTTCTTAACTTTAGTGTTTTCCATACAGCTGGCATCAAGAAGTGATCTTAGTTTAACAAACATTGAAAACCTGAAAACATTGGGCATCTGTTTCATCCCAGTATGGGAGTCATTAGAAGCAGTGAGCACCTAAGACCCTGTCATCAGGGATAAAACTGAGGACATTCAGCCTCGGGCGTGAATGCTTAACATTTAGACCACTCAGCTGATAACCAATGATTTACAAGTTTAACTTCAGTTAATCCATAAAATGTGATATTATTGTTGTCTCTCCATCCTGAACATTTCACTGGTTATTTAAGATCGAATTTTTCTTTTGGAAGAAAATACCTCGACTGAAAATTTATAAGCAGATATAATTTGGTTAAATTTTTAAACCAGAGTAAAGTTCACATTTAAATGTATTTACTACTTTTTCATTGAAGGTAAAAAAGTTTATTAGATTCTAAAATAACAATAAATACGAAAAATTCCTGAATAATGGATAAGTACGAAAAGGATTAACAAAGTACATTCTCGTTAAAATTTAATTCTCTCAGAAGTAATTTCCAACACGAATGGGATATTAGTTAGAGAACTGTCCAACAGTAGATGGTATAGAATAATTATTCCAGATATTTGGGTTTAATCTTATATGGAAAGTATGGGTATTCATTGGTTGGAAATCTCAAAACAGCCAGAATAACATTCAATGTTCGATTGCATTTAGTAACTTAAAGTCAGTTCTTCACCATAAAATGATATCGATTAGTGGTGATGATAGAAAACCACTGAGAACCATCGAATGCTGGACAGATATGTTATCCAAGTTTGAGACATCTTAACAATTCGTACCTGTGACCCCAGTGGAGATAGTGCCCAAGATATTTGGGTCTCATGGTGAGTATTTTGTCTTTAAACCTTTGAAGTAGAATCCTATGGGTTACATGTTTTGAACTTGAATCAATTGACAATGTATGCCTTGACGTCATCTAATTTCATTGTCGGGTAACTGTCGCATTCTTAGTACGATCAACACAATATCAGTTTATAATCAAAAGTGTATATTCAAAACGTGACGGGATTTTCTACAAAAAGCAAACTAACTGATCGAAAAATCGCGGGTTGATTGAGACTAGACTAATAGATCCTGGCTCAGTGGCCTGTAGGTTAAGTATTTACGCTCAAAACTTAAGGTCTTGGGTTTAATCGCCTATGGCAGGTTCGTGCATATGCACTGTCACTGATGAATCCCACACTGAGAAAATGGTTTGTGATCCCAAGAACTTGTTAAAACTTTGATTTTTATAAGTATATTTTTTGTCATTTTAGCAATCATTATTTTATTAATCTTTATTTTGTCATCGTCATCATTCTCATAATTATGATTTGATGATCAATTAACAATTCACGTGATTGTACTGTATCAAATTATGTATATTTAACAGCACTTACAAAATAGAATACATACGTCACCTTCATTAGTTAAGCAATAATTTTCTCGATATCAATTGTGTAAAATTTCAAAATTTGAGAACGGTTATTTACCGTTAACATTGAATAAAGATGATACTATGCGACAAAGTGACTCTATTTGAAAGTGTGGATTAATGAACTTCAATAATCTGACTGAATGATAGTGTTGTTCACTGTCAGACTTGTAAGTTGTTTGACCAAACCAAGAAGTGACATCCACGTCCACGAGGTCATTAACTGTTGTACTGAGTCGTGAAAGTAGGTGCTAACTGTTTGAATAAGGTCCTGACAATCATCGTAATCAATTTTTGGAGACGACTTGTAAGGTAACTCAGAATAAATGCCAATGGTACAAATACATTCACTTGTCATCTTACCTAATATTTAGTTTTTAAATCACAATATACTTTTTATTCCACAGACTTATTCTCTCTCATAGAATTATATTGTGTATTTCTTATGTTTTGTTCTACCACTGATACTGAAATTGATTATATTACTGTAGTTTTGTCTTGATAATTTCATCACATTTTATCGATTTGATCTTGAACAGTTGGATATATATGGCAGGTTCCGTATAATTCATGGTTGGTTAACTCTATCGAAAACATAATCGTAATTACGGACTACGATACACTCATAACTTCACAACGTGGAGTTTATCCCCAGCGCATTTTCTCATGATTTTTATTAGAATACATGGATTAAGTTTGCCAGGAAAATTTGGAAATTGATTTGAACTGTAATAAATATTTTCAAGTAAAACTGCATTGTGACTTAAAAGTGGAATCTCAGATGAGTGTTTCATCCTACTTGGGATTTGTCAGCCAGATGTATTTGCTACATTCCAGGATTGGTGTTCACAATAGTAATCAAACACAGTACCTTTCTTTTAAACTCCTAATGCGTTAACCACGGAGTTACTGAGTCAAAAAAGGCACAGATTTGTACAAAATGGATGAATTTCATTATTTTTCATTTGTGAAGGTTTAAATCTTCCTATTGATGATAAAAATTGTTGTTGTGTTTACTTTTCGGTAAACTGGTGTGATTAAGAAATTCATTAATATATATTTCATCACTTCATAACCTGTCATAATCACAAACAGAGATAAAATGTTAAATTGTGATAATTAATAAACAGAATGAATTTCCTGGAGTTGTGGTGAGAAGCAGTAACCAGTGGAGTACAATCAGGTCTGTTGGGAGATATCAACTCACTGAAGACATCGGTGAAATGGTTGCTCAATTTCGTGGATTGGTTGAAGTTAGACATTACCACAATTGGATACCGGCTCAGTGGTCTATCGATTAAGTGTTCGCGCACAAGATTGGTAAGTCCTGCGTTGGAATCTGGCGAGGCGGGATCGTGTATGTGCACTGGTGAGGAGTCCCATAATAGGACTAAACGGCCGTCCAGTGCTTCCAAGTTTTCGATGATTGTCTAGCTTCAATTGACTCATGATTTCAATTATATATAAGGATGAAAATTGCCATACCAAAATGTTTGGTATTGTAGCTGGTTTAAAACTACAAAGTTAGCTATATCACAAACACTATGGTCAAATACTGTTGAAAATTAGGAATATTTGTGAGAGAAAATAAAATCATTGGAATTAATTACAAACTTTATCATTTCATGTAGATGAATTAAAGGTTAAGTGAACAAATGATTTAACAGACAGACCTTGTTTATGTACTTAGCATCCAAATATACTTACACTAATGTATAGATCAAAACATGTTTCTACACCATTACACCCCGTCAGGTTGTTTATTAAATTCGAGCTTGAGAAAAGTGTTAAAGAGCTAGGAAAGCTGAATTCCAACTCCACGGAAGAAGACGATCTTCCCTTAAACTCTTAGGAGTCATTGTTTATTATTGGCTCGCAGTGGAATCCGGAACGCTGGTTTCGTCCCATTTGAAACTCGTCAGCTGGATGTACATGCATCTCAGAGTTGATGTTCACTCTGAGACGCGAACCCAGTACTATTCGCCTCAAACTCTATCACGTTACCCACTTAGCCACTGAGTCTTATTGTTTGTCATTACTGAACTAGTTTACCTATTCAAAAAATGCATACAATGGTTATATATATAATCACAGTTACAGTATAGTATGGAAACTAATGCTCCATTGTCACTTACTTGGACAATCACCTTGTTAATTACATAATCATCTAATAGCCATAGGTTTATTATGGTTTGTTTCGTACCAATATATTTCACTGATATTGATAATGGTAGCATTGTAATTATACTTCATAAAATTTAAACTTTGTATCCGGTTATTTACAGAATCGTTCTTCACACATGTTCTGTTACACAAACATACACTAATATATACGTAGCTCAATACTTATTGTATAAACAATCAAGTAAGCTATTGTCATTGATTTTTACTTAACATTTTGGTTACTATCAACTTTGGAATATGATGCAAATGCTTCCTCATCCTATCTGGTACACAGGGGAACATAGTTTATCATCATCTTCCTTCTCTACTCCTCTCTCTCTTTTAGCTAATTATTATTTGGCTAAATTAGCATTTTTAATGACAATTTGTATATCTTATAAGCATATTAATTTGATATTGTATGAAGTGATATAGTTATAAATATATCTATCAGTTTTCCGATAGATAATTAGTAGATCGAATTTCCATTAAAATGTAAACAAATTCAATTGGAGTTGAAAGATTTTGTGGAGATTAGTTTAATTTGCATGTCGTATTCATCATAGACTAGTTTCGTTTGAGGTACAATTGAAAACCAGGAATCACTGGAAATCTAGTTTGTTCTAGTGTGAAATTACTGTCACAAGTGACATTGCATGGGCGTTGAGGTAAATTATGAAATGACTGAATTTATAGTCGTACTAATGGATGCCAATCCAGTGGTCCTAATGGTTAGACGTTAGTAACAAAGCTTCAAATCCCTGGGTCTGATCCTTGGCCAGTTCGCTTGTGTATATTGTTGAGGATCCCCATACTAGCACTGAACAGCTCTCTAATGCTGCCTAGTTCTTAACTGTACGCGAAATGAGATCAGTCTCTGACGAATACAAGTTGAATGATATGTTTGATTGAAAGAGGTTTATAAGTCTTATTATCGTGATAAACTGTCGTCGATTCGGGAAATCGGTTAGCATCAGGCACAATTGTTTGATTCTGTTTTGGAACAGCTCAGCAATACTCACTTATGAACCTATCAGGAATCAA